AATGTTTGGCAACTGACTCATATTTATGACGGTTGCAGTGTTCCGGGAGTCATGTGGTCATCTTTTGAGATCTTCTGACAGCAAAATCAATGGGGAAGCCAGATTCACTTAACCTCTAGGTTACTAACTTAACAACTGCAGTGATTAACTTAACAATTGTGGCAAGCAACTATCTCACCATAGCAATGGAAATTTTGGGCTCAATTGTGGTCATAAGCTGAGGATTATCTGTATGGTCCATGGTTGATGGTTTTCCATTAAGCCTGGGCTGGGTGCTTTCTAAGTCAATCCCTGGCACTGATTCACTGAACTATTGTGGCAAGTAAGGTAATAAAATGGGAGGAAAGTCACTTAATTATCTTGCTCAGCAACAGAAACATTGGGTTGAATTATATAAAATTACTTGTATTCAAGCATGTTGGATAATCGCTGCAGTTGGCAGTTTTGGGGCATTGGGTTAAATGTGAGGACCTGCCTCAGCTACCTTTTCAAGAATGCATGACTCTTGAACCATTATTGGCATTTCAAAAGGAACTTTTACAGAGAGAAAGGGATTGCAGAGAGAACAGGCAGAATCTGAAGTTCCCACACAAAGTTTATCTTATTCTTCCCATTCAAACCCCACCCCAATGGCCCTCATTCCAAAATAGCTAATACAGCATAGCAAAGATGTTTTGAGAACTCCGAGGCGTTAGGTTAATAATGGTTCATCCTCAGAATGCCGTGACTTTGGTAACAGGCTAGATAGAGCTGGCTGGAAGGAGTCCATCATGTTGACTTGGTCCTCCTCCCTAAATCTCACACGGTTACAGCAAAAGTGAAAGCATGCAAAGTATCTTGTCCCAGATGGCAACTCCCTCCCCCTTGGATTGGCAGCATTCTGGCAGGGACCTGACACTAAGGGTGGGAGAAAATTGGGTAGATTTCTCTGGGAATTCAAACAGTGACATCTTTTGAGGAGGGGAATCAAAGTTGGCAAGATCCTGTCTGTCATATGTCCTTTTCTTTCCCTTTCTCAGGAAACATTTTAGGAGGAGCGATAAAGAACCTCAATCGGCTTCTCAAAACGCCCTACGGCTATGGGGAGCCGAACATGGACCTCTTTGCCCCCAATATCTACATCCTGGACTATCTCAATAAGACTGGACAACTGACACAGGAGATCAAAGCCAAGGCCATCGGATACTTAGAGACTGGTGAGAAGCACCCCACAGGAATTCTCCTCTCATTCTTTCCCTACTGCAGTTGGGAAACTTTCAAAGGCTCCATCAACAGATTGGTTACTGGTATTGATAGAGGAGGTTGTAAATTAAACAGATAAGATTGACTAAGATTCCTGGGACCTTTCCAGATGTTAAGTAATATAGAGAAACAGTTTGGTGTACACTGACCTAGAAACGAGGAGACTGTAAGTTCTAGTACTGCCTGAGTATGAAAAAATGACTGAGTGATTTTGGATTAGTCACTCTACCTTGACTCAACTCACTTCAAAAGATTGCTTGGGGAAAATAGAAAAGTGTTATGGGGAAGATAAAATGAAGGAATAGCATGCACATTCTCCCTTTTGAATTTCTTATGAAAAGGTAGCAAATGAGGGATTACAATCTAATAAATAAAATAAAATGTTGCTCAATGGCTTGCTGTTCTGGACAATCCAGTTAGCCTGCAATAGCAGAGAATAGAATAGAATAACAGAATTGGAAGGTTTAACAGATAAGCAGAGTTGGAAGGGAACTTGTAGATCATCTAGTCCAACCCCTTTCCCAAGCAGGAGACCCTACACCATTTCTGACAATGGCAGTCCAATCTTTTCTTGAAAGTCTCAAGTGATGGCGCTCCCACAACTTCTGAGGGCAAGCTGTTCCATTGGTTGATTGTTCTCACTGTTGGAAAGTTTCTCCTAATTTCCAGGTTAAATCTCTTCTTGGTTAGTTTTCATCCATTATTCCTTGTCTGGCCTACAGGCGCTTTAGAAAATAGCTTGACCCCTTCCACTCTGAGGCAGCCCCTCAAATATTGGAAGGCCGCTATCATGTCTCCCCGGTCCTTCACTTTACTAGACTAGCCAAGCCCAGTTCCTGCTACCATTCATTGTAATGTTTTAGCCTCCAGTCCCCTAATCATCCTGGTTGCTCTTCTCTGCACTCTTTCTAGAGTCTCAACATCTTTTTTATAGTGTGGTGAGCAAAACTGGATGCAGTACTCTAGGTGTGGTCTTACTAAGGCTTTATAGAGTGGTATTAGTACTTCCCTTGATCTTGATTGTATCCCTCTGTTAATACAATTTAGGATTGCATTAGGTTTTTTGGCTGCTGCTGCACACTGCTGGCTCATATTTAGCTGGTTGTCCACTAAGACTCCAAGATCCCTCTCACAGTTACTGCTATTGAGCCTGGTTTCACCCAGTCTATATGTGTACTTTTGGTTTTTCTTGCCTAAGTGTAGGACTTTACTTTTCTCTACATTGAATTTCATTTTGTTAGATATGGCCCAGTGTTCTAGTCTGTCAAGATCCATCTAGATCTTGAGTCTATCTTCTTGGGTGTTAACTATCCTGCCAGCTTAATATAATCTGCAAATTTGGTAAGTTCCCCTTCTATTTCCTCATCTAAGTTGTTAATTAAGATATTGAGGAATACTGGGCCTAAGACGGAACCTTGTGGCACCCCATTGCTTACTTCCCTCCATGTAGACTTAAATCCATTAAGGATTACTCATTGAGTACAGTTTGCCAGTCAGTTGCAAGTCCATCTAGTAGTGGTGCTATCTATTCCACTTTTTTCTAGCTTACTAAGAAGTAGGTTGTGGTCTACTTTGTCGAATGCCTTGCTGAAATCTAAATATATCATGTCCACAGTATTTTGCTGGTCTACCAATTTAGTCACCGTGTTGAAGAATGAAATAAGATTGGTTTGGCATGATCTGTTTTTAACAAACCCATGCTGACTGCTAGTTATTACTTTACTTGTTTCTAGATGTTAGCAGATCTGTTCTTTATTATCTTTTCCAGTATCTTCCCGGGTATTAATATTAGGCTGATTGGTCTATAGTTTCCTGGGTCTGTTTTTTTTCCCTTTTTTGAAGATGGGAACCACATCAGCTCTTTTCCAGTCCTCTGCTAGTTCCC